AGCCCAGTTGATTCCTCAATGCTTTGAGAACGCTGAGCATGCATTGTACTATACAAAAATCAGTTCCCCCTCTGCCTTTGGAGGGGCCTGTCAAGCTACACATAACTAATCCTTCACAATGTCAAAGAGTATTTTTGATTCAGTCCCATTTTTCAGCAAAGTAGACATCACTTTGAAAAGTGAATCTAACTAATAATTCAAAAGACTGCCTGAATTAGTGCCTTCTCCCCACTCCCTTAATTAATATTATGCCATAGTAGCTTTTCAAGCTACTAAAATCCTTCCACTGCTCAGCTTCCTGTTGATTCGCCTCAAAACTGAATTGCCACGGTAACATCCCTCTGTCACCAAGGACATAACCTTCATGCTGCTCAGTAAAGACATTAATCTTTAGCATTATACGCAAAAAGTAGCTCTGAGTAACAAGATAGCATTTACATGACAATTAGGAAAAGAGACAAAAGCACTAGTTTTGTAGTGAAAAGAAAAAAGGAGATAAGATGACTTTACAGTCTTCACAGTAAATAAAACTGAAAGCAGTAGAACTATTTACACTGTCATTCTTCTTTGCTCTGTTAAACATTCCTTTGTTTTGGACCTCTGCCCTACTATTTTGGGGTCACAAGTGAACTTGCTCTTTGCGATTCTGAAGTGAGCCACAGAAACTCATATATTGGCTTCCACAAATATCAACGTAGAGATATCATGGTGATGAATACTCAGTTACATACATGAAGCTTGTTATTTAGCAGCAGCACATAAATGCTTTTCATAATCTACTCTGCATTTGTTATCCAGTGTTACTAAACATACAATATCCCCCTTTTATTTTAATACCAATCCCTATCTACTCAGGCACGGGTAAAAATCTCAGTTAAACATTAACTGTTGAAACAAACAAGAGAATTTCAATTCCATTAGCTCTAAAAATAATTCACATGATCCAAAAAAGCTACTGCGTATGACTTGGAAAAGAGCTGTAGAGGTAATAACTAAAAAATGTGCATATTAAATATATCAGTCTAATGAAAACAGCTTAAATTCAATCAATCCAATTATCTTTTTGAACAGCAGAAGACATTTCACTTTTGCATCTCTGTGTAGCTTACCATTTGCACTCAAATCGAATTTGATTTTCTATTGCTGTTGACAATGCAGCAACCCCTCCCCTGCAGTACCTTTCACTGTAACCAAAAGCTTATATCTGAACAACCCAGAAAAAGGCTTAGCAGCATACTTCTCATTTATGTCTAGACAACATTATTCAAACAGCATTAGAAACGAATTCCAAGGCTAGTAGCGTTTTAGTCAAACGGGACAAGAAGACATCATGACAAGCTGCTTACTCTTGGGCTTACTCACTTCCTTCCCCTCCTTACAGCTATTCAGGTGCTGGCTTATTACATCAAAACAACATAACCATAACTTCTTGGTTAAAGCTAGTACTTTGACACTTATCTCTATTAGATTAAATGGAAGCTCTTGCCTAAAGCATTAACAAACAGCACGTGGTGTTTATGAGTAACATTATTAGCAGATTCATAAGCCTCCAGCGCCAATTCTTTTCATATTTACAGAGTTCCACAGAAGGGAAACAGAACATGCATGCTAACAGTATTACGCCAGTACCCATGATTTTTAAATAAAGTATAGTTAATACCTAGCCTGAAAAGGAACTGGATCATCTTTCTCTTCCTTTTCCCAAAACAGCTTATAACTGTATTCATCCAACTTGAGGGACCCAAGTATTCAGTTCAGCCTGTTTAGGGTCTTTCCTCTATTTACTTTTTTTTTTTTTCCTCCCTTTTTTAGTAAGGCATCTTATGTTCAACATACGGATTATAGTCACTTTCAGCTTTTCTTAGCTCCTTTATTGTAAGCGTTTTTATCAGTGCAGAAGTCACAATAGGTAAACACCAAACAGAATTCAGATATAGTGGACAGAGTTCACAGAAGGAAACCAACAGGCGCTATACTTTATGAAGAGCCCTGTTAAGAGAAAAAAATTGCATTTCCTTCCATCACTGTTTTTCTGTCTAGCAGCACCACACATGCATAAATACATCTTTTACAATAATCCATGTCTTGTGATTCTGTAGGCAAGATAATTTTTCACCAAAATACTTAAAGCTCAGGATTTTGTCTGTGATTGTTAGGAAGTCAGAGTGAGAGAGATAATACAGTGATGCAGAGACCATATTCACATGTCATATATGAATTAATGAAGATGGAACAAAAAATCCATTAAGAACAATTACAGTCAAGTTCTCGCTAATATTGAGAACAAATGCTTAATGTTTTCTTCAGTGACAGCAGAAATCTAAAATCAGACCGACTGATTCAATGTATACCGAAATCACACTTGGGGCTACAGTCGGGATCTATGTGGTCTTCATAAACAGACTGGTTTATTATATGAAGTGTAATTATCAATACTGTTAGTTCAAGCTATCTCCTGTAAACAGGTACTTTTGCGTTGCCTGGTACAAAAGAATCATTTCGAATTCATTCAATCAGATAACTCACCCGGAGTTTCACAAGCAGCCCTATCCAGTGCCAGCCCATGCTCCAGCTAAGAAAAGCAGTCCTACCTTCCCTTTCTCTCCTCTTATTTTAACTTTCTCATTTGCTAGAATCAGCTTCCTAGTGTATTAGCTCTCCGATCTAGTTAGATCGGACCGCAGCCACACAGACACCAAACGCTGGCGAGGAACTTCAGCACACAGAAGAAAGCACTGGCGAATTCCTTGTTTAGACAGCATTACTTCAGATCTCATTAAGCTACTCATGGAAGCATATTAAAAGTTCAAATACTTGTCACAGATCTGGCACAGAGCTGATGAAGATCAGCTCAAGACAAGAGATAAAAATTGAAAGTCACATAATTGCAAGCATTTAAGAGTGATTTAGTGATCTTCCATGAGAATCAAAACAGTCCCATGAGTTACCCACATAAAAGCCAAAATTCCAATATACTCCCATCGCTCAGACCTCAGTAACTAAAGAATGGCAGTTGTTGCTATAAGTCACAAAAGCTCTCTAGCAAGGAAGATCATGCTGAAGTCACTCGTGAAGTTTATCAAATATATTTGCTCCAAATATTAAAAGTCATTCATGAAAATCATTAAATTCTAAGGTGATTAGAGAACAGACATCTACAGCTTCTTTGGTTCGAGATTAGCAGTCTATAACGCTATTAGAGACCCAAAAAGGATTTATCTGGCACTTCCCCCACATTTACATATCACATTAACACCAAAAACATAAAATTCAGATATCCCAAAAGGTAAGAAAACTTTTTGGTTATGAACTAACAACAGAAAGACTCTGTGCATTATCAGGAAACAAAAACCAGGCTAAATTAAAAGTGAAGTTAACACTTCTCCTCAGTTTAAGGTTATAAATAACCACTCACTCACCTGAAGTGTGGCTTCTTTCTGTGGTACAGAGAATGCTCTGTCCTCATTTGAAGAAGATGGTTTGTGAGTGGGTGGGAGATCAATCCTGTATTTAAAAAAAACAAAGTATGGCAAGCCATGTTTGCGAACTCCAACTGAAGGGTCAATTCAATATTTTTTTTTAGCAGTCAGACCACCCAAAGCGCACGTTTAGGAACACGCACCTTTCAGTCAGCAATAGCACATGAAAGGAATATTTTAACATCAACAATGCTTGCAAAGTACGTTTGATTTACTCTTATGTTAGGCCCGCAGTTATGATAAACCAATAGCCTACAGTGTTTGCGGCAACAAACAAGATATACTTCTCCTCCTGCTCTCCAGTTCAAATTGGAAGTGATTTTCTTTCCCAAATCTTCTTTTGAAGGAATTATGTTACCTATTAAGTCATGCTTAGCTTCCTCATTTCTTTTCAGAAAGACATGATTTTGTATCATTTGTACGCTCTGAAAATGCTACCCTGGAACTGTGACAACTGAACAGTTTCTATGGGAACTCAATCTTTTAAGTATTTATGTAGAAAAAAAATACGAGTTTTCTGCATATTTCTTCCAATTAAGAAATCCAATATATACTTACACTTTGTCAAGATAGGATGGCCTTTTTTTCCTTGGGGTCAGCAGCACTGTCACAAAGATGGTAATGATAAAAAGAGCAAGGACTGCTCCAATCACAGCCCCTGCTACAGCAACAGAAGATGTCTGCTTAAATGGCACATCTGTAACACGATAGCATAGATTACACTTTTTAAATAAATTTGCATGTTTTCAGTACTCATATTTCAGCGTTGCTCTGAGAAACAGTTCTTCCTTGTATCACTAAGTAGGAGTCTTCTTTCTGCGCTATCACTTTTGCGTCTTGGTTTGAGCTGCCCAATTCAAAAATTGGTTGAATAAAAAAGAGCTTAGGAATAATTAATACCCTTGCAAGAATCTCATTGACTACTTCTTAATTGAAAATACTAGCTGCATGCTTTTATTTTCAATTTCAAAGCAAGATGCAGTTACAGAACACATGCTTTGCACTTACATGAGCAAGCTAGCAAGCTTTTTAAACTCAAAAAATATAGATAACTATGCTCTACTTGCAATCTTTCTTTAAGGCTACTGAAATCTGCAGAAAGAGAAAACAAATTTAGAATCAAAGAAGAAGATATACTGCTACAAGCAATGAACATGCAAACCCACTAATGCTTGGTTTACACTTACCAAAGCAGCCCCTAAGACCATCTGTCATCTCTAGGACTTAAAGTTATTAAAAAAAGTCATTTTTATAAATAAGCTTTAACACTGAGCCCTCCCTCCAGTAATTTGCTTTCACTTTAGGGGGAAGAAGAGATTATTATTAAAGTAGTTTTGGTTTAACCTCAGCATCGTCAATCCTTATGTTTTACAACTGTAATACTGAATTAACACGTGGCAGTCCTTAAAAGTCACCCTTCTACTATGCTAGAAATTCAATAAACATTTAAAAGTCTTTCACAAGACTAAGTTTGAAACCCTCTAGCAAGCTTTAATTCAGTACCATCACTCTGAGTGTTACATGCAACCAGCAAACTATCCATATTTACATCAACAGGCTTATCACAAAGTCACCCAACTCTAACAATTCGTACTAGCTTCAGTGAAACTGTTACCTGCAAAATGTAGGTAAACATGCAGAAATACGGAACAACTGCTCTGATCTGTATTGTTTACTGGATCAGAAAGGTAATGGCAAAGGAGCTTAAAGTTTACTCAGCTCTATACCTGGTAATGCATTTTTATGCAGTATACTTTCATCATTTTCCTTCAGGAACAATCATATACTATGTTTTTCCAAATACCACTCAATCCTCCTCCATTCAGTCTCTCAGCAGAGGGAATTTTAGGAGCCTTTTCAGCTATACACTCTACTACTGTATCAAAAACAAGAACAAGCATCTATTACTTGTATTTCAAACGCTGTCCAGCTTCTGTGTCAGAAAGCTGGATAATGTCACCCTACTTCCATTCCTGATTTTGGAAAAAGCTCATTTCCAATCTGATAAAGGGATTCCTGCCCTCTCACAGCATATGAAAGAACACTCACGGGAGTGAGGTGAACTCACATGAATTGTTTAAATAATAACTAGATAAACACAAAATAATGGAACTAAGTGTTTTTTTTCCCCTAACTTCTTCCGTTAAGCTATGGTTTTATACCTTAATGTTGATACCTTAATAGCAGGAAGCTAACTCACTCCAAAATTGACGTAACCTATCATCTTAAGTGATCAGTGTTCTATTTCAGGAAATATATTTAATGAAAACAGCTTTCCTGACATAAGCTTCATTTGCTGTCAGACACTACCCTATATACCTAAAAAACCAGTTCCTCTTTTCTCATGAGGACTAGGCACATGAACTGGCTCAAGTTTAGCTTACACTGGATGTGCTTACACTGGATGCCATCTTGCTTAAGCACGAAACAGAAGAACAGCATTAGGTCCAAAATTCATGAAGATACTGGTCTTGTGATTACAGCTTCACTAGAAGAGTTTCTTGCCTGTAGATTTCCTAGTGTACTTCGGTTTGATAGACCATTAGCAGCCCTTTTCTGGTAAGTTCTGCAATACTGTTGTAACACCCTCAAGTATTATAAGCGCAACGAAAGTTTGGCCATTGAATCTGGTTTTGGGTGATATGACAACAGCCACTCAATTCTCTCTCAAAACCAGGAAACAGAGGTACTCTTAGAACAAGAGTAGCAATGTATAGGAACTGAAGTGCAATTATTACAGTGCTCACTTAATTTGCTTTTGAATTGCTTTGGCAAAGAAGTAGGGACAAAAATTAAACCAGTCTAACCATAGGACTGATCAGAAACCCAGACCATCTTGCCAAGCTGAACAAGTCAGAAAGCACCTAAGATATGGTGCCAACTATATAGCAATGTATGACCAGCTGGTCACAAATAGGTGGAATTTGTTTTACTCCAATAAATATGGTTAAAGCAAAGCTACAGCATCTGAAAACAAGGCGAATTTTAAGAAAATGAATTCTAGCTATTGTATTAGCTGTGCTTAATGTGCAATTGTTTAGACAGCAACTATCCCTACTTATCATTCTCAGTTGTTCACCCTTTTAAAAATTGTTTCTAAAGCCAGTAAGCTTTTTGTTTTGTAAGCTTAGGGTCTTCCAGAAGAAATACTAAAAAGAGCCGGTCCTAGGGGTTTAATTTCTTTAGCTGCTTTTACCCAACTTTTGATTTTGTTATACCTGTTCACCTTCACTTTTGTGAATATATCTTTCAAACATTTTTGAACACTACCTACATTGGAGAATATAACAAAAGTTTATTCACACAACAGCCATTTGCACTTACAATCAATTCTTTTTACAGCAGATATAACGTACAAAACATCGCAACACTTGTAAGCCCTATGCCTATTATCAACTCCAACTCCAAAAACATCTCAAATTCTCCACCAATAGTAGTTAAATATTTTTTTGAACAAAAAACCCTCAAAAATCCACAGAGACACAAGCAAGATATCTCATGTGGAGAACAGGTTTACGGTTACGTTTATTTCTGAGTAGGACCATCTTTTAAAGATGATATATCAAGTATTTTTTGTTTGTTTGTTTTAAGAGGCATGATCCCTTTTATTTCAGAAATAATTTGGATCAGAACCTTCTACAAGAAACTCAACTCCTTTCTTTGAATTTGCACTCAAACTACTGATACATAGAATATCATTTGCTATTGTACTTGAGACTTTGGTCAATCATGTACCAGTGCTCAGCTAATCCAAATATGAACTTTAGTTGTTTAGGGAAGTTTTTTCATTTGAATTTCAAATAAAGCTGTTGTCTTAATTTTTTTTTTTTTTTTTTTTGAAGACATGCAGTCATATGCGATCACAGTGTATTGTCTACAACACTCAATAACTATTTTTGTCAAGCTCTAAATGCTGTAAAGCTACCAAATACCATGAGGATAGAAAAGAACTTCCAGCATGAATACTCATGAAGCAGTCATAATTATGCAGTCCATTTCACTTTAAATGTAATGGGCAGTTTTCCCTTTTCAGGTTTCAAATACTAATAGCCTTATAAACTTTATTTTTCCAGCTAGACATTTAAAAACGGCACTTCAAAAGAACTGATCTTTCTAATTCTGAATTTATCATTGTACCGCAATTCATCTAGAGTTATTTCATTTCAATTCCTCTCCACATAAATCAGCAGAATTAGTTTGCTGAACTTGCTCAACACAAAGTAGAACTACTACAGATCACAAAACAGATGTCCCGCATATGATATCATTTTAAACAACAAGCACCTATTGTTAAATCAGTTATATTATCTGCAGGGAAAAACAAATCCACTGCGGTACAGAGACTGCATGGTATATCTAGACTTTTGTTTCATATATCCGGTAGTTGCACTGTTGCATAGTATGTTTTTACTACATGAAGTGGCAACGCAACGTCCACTTTTTTACCAGTAACCTGAAGTTCTAGTCACCCTCTTTGAAGCAAGCATTGTAACTTTTCAAACTTGTTATCCAGAAGTAGTGCAAAACTGCCATTTTAACTACTGGTCATAAAATCTCTAGTAAACATTATAACACCTCTTCACAGGCTTGCAGTGTTATTGGCATCCTGGAAAATATGCAAGCTTGCTCGCTTCTCCAACTCAGAAATCCATTGGAGTTTTCTTCCTAGCTGTGTTCAGTTCTCCAGCTTTCATATTCACAGTTAGGATTCCCACAAAGCCTCATTAACAGGTCTTTAAAACTATTACATGTACTTGCAAAGAGAGTCTTGTATTCAGTAATGAGTTTTGACATCATGCCTAACACAGACCTAACAAAATACCTCACTTGTATGTATGTATACACACGTTAGCATAAGCTTTTAGAAATCAAAGACTATAAAAAATATTTTTTCATCTTACTCAAAAGACAAGCCTTTGACCTGTTCACACAGTTACTCCTCAGAGTCTTGTTCATAGATAACTTATTTTCAGTGCAATGACTTTTAAGTACATAGTTACAAGAAGGCTCATTAAAATGCTAAGAGGTATTCATTTTTGTGCAGAAAATCTAAAAAATAAAGTTTTGATTCTGCTGAAACTTATTTTAATTGGTAGAGTAGTTGCTATACAGAAGCATTGTATTTGTCACCGATGGTGTCAGATTTCAGTAACTCACTTACTGTTCTGCATTACAGATGTTAGATCTGCAAATTAAATGCCCCAAAAGATTATACTTGATCATTGTCTTAGGTAAACTTCTTTTTCAATCAGAAAGCCAAGAAAGCCACTTCTTATTCTTAATCAAGTTTGAATGGTAACTTTAATTTAGCCTTTGTTACCTCTGACATAGACCAATATAAGCACTCTGCATTAAAATTCAAATCTTGAACAGTAGTACAGCATTGGGAGAAAAAAATTTAAAAAAAAATTAAAGCAGCTCAAATACATTTTCCCAGATTCAACATTTCCATTTCTCAAGTCACAATATAAAAAGCTTGAAAAAAATTCAAAAAGTTTATTCCTCCTCACGTGTAAGTATAAACAATCTGAAAGTGACCAGCCAATGAAGTGAATTGTAGGTACAAGTATAGTTTTCAGTGGTTACTACACATACCACTCCCTCCGGGATATTACCGAGCCATCTATGTGAGAAACAAAGTCTTCTTCATTGTCATCATAACATTCACCACCCATATATTTCATTCCCAATGTTCCACCTTCATAATAATCCATTGGTCTTTCATAACGTTCCTGGTACCTGTTAATATTGTCTATATTGTTCCACTCTGGTTTTTCAGGGTCTTCTAAATAATCTTTAGATATTAGGCTGTTCATTGGATGTTTTATTTCTTTTTTTATACTGTCAGGATAAGAATCCACATCATCTGACTGAAGAACATCTATTTGAGACTCTTTTTGCATATCTGATGGTGGAATGTAGTTCTTAGCAAAGTAGTCACCACGGAACGTCCGTCTTCTCCTATAGCAGATAATTCCAACCAGAACACTGACAAGTATGAGGAAGAGGGCCCCCCCCACCGCACTACCGATGACGGTACCCCAAGTGTCTTCCTGTATTGCTGGCAAGGTTGATGTTGGGATATTTATTATTCTAGGTTCTGTTGCTAAACCTGTGATGCCATCAGTCGAAGGATGCCAGGGAACCGTGGGCAGTCGAGTGGTAGTAGTAGGAGGATCTAATGGAAAGAGCAAAGAAGTAGACAAGACAGAAAAGGCACAGAATGTCAATGCAAGCTAAATCAGTTAAGGGTTTATAAGAAAGCCAAGTTGATGGATATACGTTCTACAAGAATAGTTTTTCATTCTCAAGTTCATGGTACTACAAAATGAGCCTCTTACATTTTTGCACAGGCTTTGAACCCGCTTCAGTGCATTTTAGAGCTATGCTGCACAGCAGGATAAGGCGCCTCCTTTGTAGTATGGGGGAGAAATCATGTTTAAGTCATCATCTTGTGCTTCTCACAGTAAGGAGATAGAGCTTTTCTGCTCAGAAGTCGACATTTACATTTACCTCACCCATGGGAGAACACAATCAATTACAAAAAAAAGCCCCATAGCTTTCCAGTCAGCAGTTAGAAATACTGGATCAAGTTGATTACGCCGCACAATAAGTTATTTATCATCAAATCCCCTCTTCAGAAATTGTTCAGGCACTAAGAATGAAAAACTATAAACTGTGTGCTAAGTCAGCAGCACATGAACTACTGATTTCAAGCTATTCTCTCCAAAAATATTTGTTGCATTAGAACAACTTACACCGCTTCAGGTTGCGAATAGTGAAGGAAGCATAATTAAAAATGGCATGTATTAATTTAATTTCAGAATAACACTATTTATACTTGAGTAAGGAGTCTTCAAGATTTTAATCAATAAAAAACCTGAAACATTTAAAGTAAAAATGCCATCCTGCATTCCTCCTGAAAGTAATTTGATTCCTCATGTGCAAAAAAAAAAGATTTCCATATTCACTCCCCAATACAGTACAACATCAACCAATTTCACATCAGGCTATACAAGTAAACAAGAGATTGCCAGCTACTGGGCTTCTCCAGCGGTCAGTTTCTTCCCTGTGTTCTTTACATCAACTGGAGATTTATACAGCTGCATTTAAGACAAGGATGGCAAGCAATGGGCTGATGACAATGGGAAAGATTCTCGAAACTATTCCAGACTGAAGTGTTACATACAACACCAGTTTCTACATTAGTGTCGCATTGAATAAAAAAAATTAAAGAATCTTATTTTGCCTTGCCCAACGCAAGGCAGTTTTAAAACCAGTAAAGCTCGAAACATGTTACTGTAGCTTGTATCTTTTAGAGAGAATATTACATGGGCAGCCAACTAGTTCACTACACCATGTTATTATCGAGTTAGATGAACGTAAGCAAGTTTTATGGAACTCTTACTATCATGTTACAGAGGCACATAAATTTACCAACACAAAAAATAATAGAACTAGAGATTGGTCAAACTTCCAGTTATTTGACAAATCTTAAGTTTGAAAGTTCATAAACATACTTTTTAATCTTACTATTGAGAGATAGTTACTCAGTTCTCTCATACCAGACAGAATTGCCACATTTGTCATGACCAATACAAATCATACTTCAAAGTGCACCTCACTGCTGAATGCAACACTTGCAAACCTGCCATAAGTGAAGCTTTGTATAGATTTTTCAAAGCATAATTATATGACCTGACCATGTAAAAGAAGTGGTGATTTGTTAGGTATCTACACATAAATGATATTAATTCGACAGAGGATAGGAAACTGAACAAGATGCATAATCAAAATGAACAAAAGGAATTCAGATTATGATTTTAGTAAAAATAGACCTAAAGTGATGAGTTTCACACTTTAACAGAGATGTAGAGATTTATGAATCCAAATCTACCAGGGTTCCCACATCCTACAAATCCATAGGTAAATAAGTTAAACTCAAACCTCTCTTCCTTGAAAATACATTTGCTTCAGGATACAAGATTTGTTGGCTTTGTACACAATTTCAGACAGGACCAGAAATAATTATATCCAGTTTTGTTCTATTTAAAGTAACTGGCTTTGTGATTCATCTATTCTCCTCTAATACTGAGGTGTTAGGTATCATCCTCTATATTTTAAAAATTCACTCAAGTATGTAGCACTTGCTTCCTGGAAAATTTAGCCATCACCTATGTAAAAATAAAGACAGTGGCAATTATACTCTATCCGTAATACCTTAATTAAAACGCTATTTTTTAGAAACATTTTGTTTAAAACATTTTGTTTCGTCCTTCAGGTGTCAGGTTGTCTAGCTGAATTATCTTCAAGCACTAGTTAACATATTAATCTTAAATTCACCTCAAATGTAATTTAAACTCAGGGTTCATTTATATGTATTCCTAGTCTACGTAACAACAAATACTTCTACTGTTCATCTGTGTCAATACTACTTATTGTTGCAGAATGACAATATTAAAGATCAGCTTTGCAGTGTTTACAGAGCATAAAAGATCAATTACTACTAAGAATCTGTGAAGTTACCCAGAGCTTTTTGAAAGGAAAACTAGACTTTTCCCACTTCCTGCACTAAGCAAGTTTCCCAAAGAATAAATAACAGTGGAAACAATTAAGACCAGGAATCTTAGTAAAATTTCAAAAGTTATGTTGCTGATGTGGCAGTTCACGCAGTAGCACAAGCTTATAATATACTCAAGGATCCAGGCAGGCCACAGAGCTGACAGCTACAGAAACTCTGACAAATTTCATGTTTAGGTAATTAAGTGTGCCTTTATTTTTATTTTGCTCTTAACTGTGTTCCAGGCACCAGTCAAATTCTTATGAAATTTACTCCCAAAAGATAAGGACAAGTTAATACCCATAAAAAGGTTCTGGTAGTATTACATACCTACCATCGTCATTAAAATAAGACAGACTTATAAATGAAGAAACTAGAAGGAAGCAAAAGCAATAAACTCACCCAGCTACCATACATAAAAAAAATAAACTACTAAGGACTGGCTTTGGAAAGCTGGACTTTTTTTTTTTTTTTTTTTAAAACCAATAAAGCAAGATTTTCTTTTTGCCTCAAGTGAAGCTCTAACACCCACTCAAAAAAGCACCAAGGTCCTTATTCAGTATGCTTAGCTTCCCCTCTAGTATATATTTTCCAGACATTTCCTATGAAAGCCAGTATCAGCTCTCAATAGGAGCTTTGCCCTACTTGGGTCTGATAATTTTATGCTTCTCTTAAATGACTCTTCTTGATCCAGATAGAAGCTGAAGAGTCAGAGACACATATGGGCAATCCTTAGTACCAGACCAACATCTTCAGACAACTTCTGTTAAGCCTTGAGAACAACAAGCATACCATTATATATAATCCACCACTTGAGTAAAGAGAATGGAGTGAATTTAATATACAAACCATTCTAGATTTAGCCCAATCTGCAATCTTTTAGGAGCGAAGTGACCATTTCTGTAAGGAAGAAAATCCTAAACACTGGCACACATCTCCTTCAGATAAAGTTATCACTTTCGGCATTACAGAAATGAAGTCTTGGAGGGAAAGGTACTTTGGCCTAGTTGCCAGGCATTAATACTGATAGTCAAAGGCTGTTTGCTTCCAAAAAACAGGATGAAGTCTAGCTCCCCCCATATAACAAACAAAACTCAAACCCCATACGTCACTCCAAATCACAATCCATAAACTCCTCAGTTACATTTGGCAGGAAAGACTTAAGTGGTCAATTACATTCGGCACCTTCCTCCTTACTGAAAGAATTATGACTTAAAATTCTCAGGTCAGAGAGATCAGGTCATCCTCAAGTACCCTTTCCAGATTAAAGTGACCATCCTTAAAGACCATATTCCTCAAAATAGAATATTTAAGACTTAACCACAGGACCTAAAAATGAGATCACACCTATTGTGATCATCAGAAAAAGAGTACCAAATTCCATTAAACTGTAGGTTCTTATTCAGGATGCACCCTGAAACACCCTTCAGAAAAGTCCATTTCAAAGGCCACTGGAGCAAGCCAAAGTACAGTAAACATGATCTCTTTGGCAATAGAGTTAGAAATCAGCTATAGGCCATCACCACTTCCTATCCAATGCCATGTCATTAAACAACGTTCGACTTTGCCAATTTCTAATGGTGATTTAGCTTTTTTTGGGGGGAGGGGAAGGAGGGAAAAGATGAACTATAGACCCCTTTCCACATCCCAGACACACAAATTAGGAGTTCTCCACAATCACACAGAATTAATCCTAAACCAAGTTGCTAACCTCAGATAGGCCTGAGTATCCACAAATGCACCACCACTCACTAATCTATATATTGCAACACAGAAATACCATCACACATTGCAGATGGCTCTTCTGATCATTGTTAGTGCTTTGTAGAGAGCTCCTCATATGCCCTAGATGAAACCTCGGTGGTCTGAAAGGAATTACGTCCTTGCCTTCCCCCTCCAAAAAGTAACAACAAAAAGCAGCACTTTCCCCTCAACCCTTTTGTAGAAGCCTACAAAAATAGGGGAAGGGCACAATACAACTTTGCTATTGGTTGACTCCTTTCAATTAATTACCAAGGCTAGATTTTCAAACTTGTATCACTGCATGTTTTGCTAAAAAAAGTAAAACTGCAGCCCGAGCAATGCATCTCTGTAGTGGTGAACTTGAATTTCATTACAACCAGACAGAACACAGCTGAAGCATCTTCAGTCTTAATCAGGCCATTTAATCTGAGGTGGGATGCACCATAACACTTCTTTAGGAGGAGGTTGAAAGAGAACTGGAAAAGTTATTTGTTCTGCTTCAGACTCCAAATTAGTTCCTCATTAGTAAACAGATCACATTGCTATTACAGTCTTATTCTGCAACACAGGCAAGAACCAGTGAAGAGCATCAACAATCATGTATTCAAAAAAGCAACAGGACTGAGACCTGAGAAAAAACAGTTGCAATAGCCATCCTCTTGAGATTTTTGCTGTCAGTCATCTGAGGCGATCATCTCTGGGATCAACAGGAGTGGTTCCCCCTCTCACCCTTCCACTCCCCCACCGTAGGTAGACTGAGATTAGTGATCTGTCTTTCACACGTAGCAGTGATGTTTATAGGAATTCGATTAGAAGACTGACAGCTTTCAAAAGCTCCAATTACAGTGAATAGCTTCGGACGTAAGTTTGCACTATGAATTCCATGCCTTCCACAGCAAAATTCTTGTTTTGTTGAACGCTAGCAGATAACAGTCAGAAAGCTACAGCCACGACAATGAGAATCTCAGTCCAATAGCTATATGAAACACGTTTGTGATCACCTCAAGAATTTTTTGTTGAAGGAAAAACAATACTTCAACTCTCACACCACTTTCTTAGCAGTCTGCAAAATGAGCAGCCATCATATTTACAATTCAAAAGTCAGTTGGCTCTGCACAAATAACAAGATCTGATTTTCTGCAATTCTAATTTTAAAGAGAGGAGATCGAGTGCGTACACACAGGTATACTTATCTCTACTTCTTAATCTGCTGTTATTGCTGCTAAGTTGCTCTTAGATAGTGTTAAGTACCCACAACAAAGTGGTTGACAACACTTTTCCATGTAGCTGGTCAAGACAAAAAATAGCCGTTTCTTACAACAGAAGTTTTTCTGCACTGAAACTGTCACAGCACCAAAAGCAGTCTTTTCATAAAAGACTTTCCAAGTGTCTAAAGTATGTCTAATGGCTTAGAAAGTTATTGTTTCTCCAACCATTCACATCCTCAAGTCAGGAAGTAGGTAAGGATGCTGTGTAACCCTCCCCACAAACCTCCTCAAAAGCATCTTGTGTGTGTAGGCTCCACACTCGCTTTAAGGAAAAATATTTTCCTTATGATCATCTTCAGGTTGTTTCCCCACTCACAGCCTCTGGCCCCAATTTGACAGCATGAATAGACAGGAAGACTGAGATCAGCCTGAAGCAACGGACCATATCTTTCAAAGTTACCGGCTCATTTTGACAGCTTGTTGTAATTCCAACCTGGGATAGTTTCCCTGCACCAAGTAGAGCATTTTGACATTTCTGTGGGACACAAGAAGATTCACTGTTACCACGAACATGATCTCAAGCTTGCAAAGAGTATTCAGAAATAATGTTAAAGTTCAAAGGCTGCATAACAGCAGCACACAAGTTAACAGTTAAAGAGGGTCTCAGGACATTCTATTCAGCAGAAAAAAAAAGCGCTCCTCAACAGCCATCTAAATATATTGTGATAGAACACAAGTATGTCTGCATTCACAATGCTCTCTCCAGTGAGCTTTACACATAAGCAACATTAAAAGCAATAAAAAACCTCCACTCGGTTAACCCTGACAACACCCACCTTATGAAAAGGTGGCCCAACTCAAAGGATTCTGCGTTTAGAAATCTGATCTTTCTAGTACTCCTGGGATCACTGGCTAACAGAGGCTGGCTTTACTGTCAGCAAATAAACAGTCTCTTCCAAAAGCAGTCATTTGAGAAGATGATAGAGGAGGTAAATGCATTCCTATCTGAACGCAAGTCTCAGATCATCTCTCCTTGCAAATGGAAAGGGAGGAAGCGACAGTAAGCAGTATGAAGGCGTAGGAGCACAGAGCCAAGAAAGTAAAGTTCAATTTCTTAAGTAATAAATCCACGTTACGAAATCAAGTGTTTAACATACCAAGATGATAGCTTGTTTTGAAAATCCTGTTGCTGTGGGACTAAACCAGGAACTTCCAACAAAAATGGATCACATCTGATTCTTGTGATCAAGAAGCATGACCTGCTTTTGCTGGATAATTATAAAGAGAAAATTTCCTAAATTTACATCTCTGAACAGAAAAAGTGTGAAGGTACTTGTGCCTTAAAAGCAGCTTTAAAAACGCCTCGGCCTTCAAATACCATTTTAGTATTTCCTTGCCCATTCAAAGACATTATTTCTGGTAACTAAAGCTTGATGAATTTATCATTTAATCCATGTCAACTACTTCTCACAATTCCCTATACCACTGTAAGAGTATTAAGATGAAGTGTCAGGAGTACAACATAATTTATTAAAATAACAAGTTGTGTGTGCGAATTTTTTTTTTTTAAATAATGCGTGTTAGGACCAAATGCTTTTTTCCCCCCTCCTCAGAATACAATCCAGTCCTCCAACACATTTCAGCTTAATAGCTGCTTACTTCTTTAGAGCAGTCAAGTAGCTTCACAACTACCAGCACCATGACTGTTCAGAAAGACTAACTTCATAAGTCTTCTTTGACAGCTTCATAACTAATATTTGCAAGAGGGTGTGATCATATAGCTTGTCTGCTAGCTTCCAGGTTGAATTTTATGTTTTTGCCAGGTTTTATACAGTGGAAAATAGCTGCTAAGGTAAGAAAAAAGCTAATTAAATGATTACACCACAACCTACAGCAGTCCAATGCTCATCCTTACTAAATGAATACTACCTGCTCAGTCAGTTTCAGTGTTAAGGTGGTGAATAAGCTAACAAAGTTTAGTACTTTACAATCTTGCTTTTGTACTCTTGACAGCAGTCTATGTTCCTTTCTTCCGTAGGACAATCTAAATGATTATTCAAAAAAATGGATGTTTCCTGCTATTTCATACTTATTTACCACAGTCCTGCATCATGAAGGGCTTTTCAGTTATTCGAAGAGCTAGTCAGCACACTGAAAGGTTACTCTTAGAGTTCTAGGAAAAGGGCCTTAATATTTTTTTTTTTTTGATAATGGTACAGGTGTTGTATCCCCCCCACCCCCTAAACAACGCACATAAACCTTCATCCTTTTCTGGAAATGTCATGTAAGAACTCATACTAAGCTCATTTTAGTATGTTAAGAAAGGCTGCAACTAATATTTAAATAAGACTTACATTTTCATGCATGACAACTGTGGGGAAAAGCATGAGTTCTACTTGCGGATCATATTCACAGAAGTGTCAACTTGTAAAGTGATAGACTTCAGAAAATGCCCTTCCCCTTATAGGTAGAAAAACAGGGCTGAGGACAGAGCTGTATTCAGAGAAAGCAACAGTAGAATTTAAGTGACTTTGAATGCTACATTCCAGGGGGATATTTCATTGTATTTAATGACGTGTTTTTAATCTTTATGTTACTTAAACGACTATTGCTTTGCAAGAAGCATTAATTGTTAAGGCTGTTAAAACAGTCATGACTTCTTATACACACAGGAATTATTGGAAGCAGATATTTAGAGTGACTTCTCACAGATGCGACTTTCACGATCAATGGCAGTCGTCTTAAAAGCTAAAAATTTAATTTGCAAGTTCCATTTACAACTAGTTCCACTGTCTCAAAGTATTTATACGTTTCCAGTTAACTAGCCAATTAGCTAGACAGTTAACTAGAACCTACTGATTTTCAGAATGGCTCACAGCATAGTTACGTCAGTCTGATGGTCTGAAACACTACCTCTTGCTCCAAAACTGCTGTTAACAAATATGAATCGATACATGCAGCTTCAAACATTCTGTACCTTTACTTCAGTCCTAAGTTTTCATTCTCTTCTCAACCTTAAGTGCTCACATTTAGTTTCTATACTCATACTAAGAAATTACTTACAAGACACATGAGTGGAAACAGGTAGTCAACATGCACTCTGATGCTTATTTCACACTGTGGAATAGCTTATGTCAAGAACTTATCGAAGAACACCATCAATTAAAACTTCATTGTGTTGTGTGTTTTCATCTCTGTATTGGTTTCCCTTAAAAGCTGATAATATATTAGCACTTTTCAATCAAGCTAGGTATTATCAGTGTAGTTAACCACTCACAGAAACCTTTTTGCACTTGTACAGTTCTACCCACATATACCCTATTAAGTCACAGTGCTCTGAGTGAACTTTTAACATCCTTACAAAGAAGTTGCCACAGTAAAATAAAGTGTATTAGGCTAAATAGACATGAGGAAGTTTACCAGCAGCAGTAACACTAAACAGACAAATCTGCCATGTACACCGAGTAGATGAGCAAGTGAGAGTTCTACATGAGATAGCTTTATGATGTATACTTCCATCCTGAGAGAAGGCAGCAACAAATAACTAGCTTTTGAATGCCAGCATGCCAATGTAACCCTAACAACCTTGAAGCAGAGCATCTTTGACTTTTCTGTATCTGGCTGCTCCCCTCTCAGTAAGGTCTGTTTTTCAACTTATCACAAATTGCAGTTGGTATGTCTTGCCAAAATACAGGTTAACACTGGAAAAAAACTAAGCGTTCACCTACCAAGAGGAAGTAATATGAGTAGCACTAGAGAAAAACTTCAGGTCTGCCCGAGAACTTCCACTGCACATTGCTCTTAATGAAGAGTCAATTTAATCCCAAGTTTCACTGTAGCTCTCAACTTGGTACTTTTAATTCCTTTTAACACAATTAATATGTTTCAATATTTAGTATGTCAAGCAGCTCTTCAGTTTGTTTATTCAGTTATTGACAAAAAAGTTTGAGTTAACATATTGTCTTTACCTAAGACTTACCTAATATGTAGATAGTCTTCTGATCACTTCTCTGACCAAGGGAATTAGTCACCCTACAGATATAAGTCCCAGTGTAGTTGTAAGTCAATGGGCTGCTGAACTGCAGAGTATTGTTGACCGATAGCAATCCTTCAGGCCATTGTCCATCCAATCTACAATAAAACGGATATATTTTAAGCGTGAATCTTTAAAATCTAAATGTATCTAATAGAAAATATTTGCAGTAATCCAGAGATTGAAGTTTTGCTGAACTTAATATTGATATTCTCAGTGGACCTTGACTGAATATTTTCAATATCTACTTGAACGTTTAGCCCTTCACGTTAGGAGGTTTGGTACACAACTTCAATGCAAAATTGGCTAGCACTCGTGAGATACTTAAAAATAAACACTCCTAAAAATACTAAGAAAACATCTTCTCAAAAGAACTTGAAGGAACCATCCAACTCAAGCTTTACAAACTAACAGCCAATGTAGGATGTCTTTATACCACTGTAATGGTTATCTAGCCAGTTGAGGCATCACGATAAAGAACGTTTTTGCCAGTACAAGCTTCGTTTACTGGGCAGTTGCACCAGCATTTCTCGGGAAGAGTTCAAGCAGTTTCTTCCCTCTCAACCCACCCCTTTTCATCCTGCATCATTTTCCCATATGCATGGGAATATAACTGAATTTGCTGCTTAGAAATACATTCAGGGAAATATTTAGTAAAAAAGTTGTTTCCAACCACATGACTTTCCCAAACGTATCATTTCCCTGAAGCATTCTACATGTGATTGCAGAACTGTGCAAGCACAACAGAGAGACAGGAAAGGATGGAGGCATCAGGACTATTTTAACAGAGCTGCCAAACACTAAACTATGTACTCAGTAGGGTATGTGTGTGTATGCATGCATGCGTGTTATCACATACATAAATGCAGACTCCAGTTTCACTCATTTATATGACTTCAGCTTCAAAGTTTTGTTAAATCACTCTTCAGTCCTAAACTCATTCGTTTGAGAAACAACTTTATTTTAGCTTAGGCTCTTATGCATCTTACTCCCCATTAGACACTTACGTAATTTCATAAGTCTACTGCTTTATTGCATCCTATTTTGCCCTTATCAGAACAGCTAAGAGGTATTAACTCAAATATTTGGTAACCTGATCTCAGTGTCTCAGAAGCATGTAACAAGTATGATTTCATAAGTAATACTGAAAGTAAAAAGGCACTCATGACACTAAGCCATGTACTTAAATAGAAAGAATGCTTGTACTTAAATAGAAAGAATGCTTAACAGTGAACAACAACACATGAACTCCAACCAGTGCAGGCTCTGGAAGACATTCCTATTTGAAGCAGGTGCTAGTGCTATGAACAACCTGTGCTGTTTACATGTAAAGCTTCTAACAAATATTCTTCCATAAATCCTCATCCCAAAGCCAATGATCTAACTGCATTTAAAGGCTCCAGTTATTTTGCTGACAGTCATTGCCCAGAGTTGCTTCTGCCATATAAAGTTAATATCAGTGATCCAAATCAAGTATTCTGATATTTTAGAGTACATGTTTACGGAATATTACAAAATAATCAATTAGTTTAAGCTCTCTAACATGAGATGTTTTACACATAAAACCAGTATTTTTGTATATTATTTATTACAAAAGTTTTTTAATGCTAGCAAGTATGATGCCACCCTTGCTTCCAAGGAACAAAGAAGTTTGGGGCTGACAGTTCTAAGATGCTATTATAGTCTGAAATGAGTAAGATACCAAGCAAGTTCAATAGAGGTAGTTTGTTGCTTAAACTACCTTTCTTGTGCAGCCCCCAAATGGTCTTCTCTGAGCTGTAGTACAGCTGTTTGGATAGGTTTTGCTGTTGCTTAGTAAAGCTAAAAGGTACACTAGTTTTATTCTACAAAATTAAGTTACCATCTTCAAAGCTGCCATTGAAAAGGAAGGAAATAGAATACAGCTTCAGATCAGTAAATACTCCTTGTGATTTTATTGACAGCAGCACTGCAACATCACTACATATATATTTATGCTATCCTTATGAAAGTTATTTCCTTGATTTCAACTAGCATCAAAATAATTTTTAAGCAGCTGCTTATTTCATTTTTTTCCTTCACAAAACAGACTGTGGATCTATGTTCACTTTTATTGTCTCCCTCTGTCTCTTGCCTGAAACATATCAATAACTGCAAAAGCAAAGCAGTAAGTCTCAAAATAAGGCCATCCAGTCCATGTATTCATGACATGCAGCTGTTAAGAAATACGTCCTTTTCTCCTATTTCCTCCTCATCCCCCCATACATTCAAACTACAGTTTGCATCACTAAGCAAAACACTGCATTTATCTGTCTTGGCAACTACTTGAGCACTCTTGAAAAAACCTGACAGATTCCTTAATTCAGTAAGCAGCATTTACCATCTCAACTTTAGAGTCCAGATCTTAGAAAGCAAATAACAAACAGTCTTTTCAAGTGTTTACAATCAACTTTTAAGTAACAATAAAACAGAACTGAAGAACTAACAGTTGGATCCCTACTGGATTAATTTTATCCTAAAAGTAATGACAAAGTGTTCAGGCTTGTAAACTTACAAGTTACCTACCCACCCATATTCATACATACACATACTCTTGCATCTTTCTCCTTGTAAGAGTCTGGGTCACACCATCACCACCCAATACAGGTCATACACTCCCTGTTTTCAAATCAGGTATTCTGTAAACAAAGAGATACCATTTACAGTGCCATAATCAAGCAGCAAGTCCCTTTTTATAAATATTTACCTGGTCCACATGAACTCCATTGGCAATGGATTTGCATCAGCATTACATCTGAGCTGAACGTTTTCTCTTCCAATGAACCAGTTCCCATCATAGCCAGTTACTGAAACTTCTGGGGCATCTACCAAAAAAAGATTTACCTATCAATCACTTTTTCTTTTTTAAACAGACTATAACAGTCATCTTGATGGCACAGGAGGCTTTTTTTTGTTTCATTTTTAAAAGCAACACAAAACAAAATACAGTTCTTAGCTACAGCATAACATACAGCAGTAGATTAGATCAGGAACAGTAAGTTACTTTAAATGACGTCAATATCCCACTACGTGTTTTCAGTGGCAAGCATACTGCATTTTGGGAAAATGAAAGGCCTTCAGAAGAGGAGAACTGATGTAATGCCCTTCAAAGTAGGGAAAAAAAAAAATAGGGAAAGGCAAGTTAGAGCTATTTCTCACTAATAAGATGTAGCAGAGGATCAGAAATAGTGTTTTGAGAAGCCAGGTAATTAGGAGATCAAAAAGGTCAGAAACACTGGTTGAAAATGTTAAGGACAGTTATCCATTGGTATTATCAAGTGGGGCTCTGTTGCCATGGATCTGAAAAGACAACTACTTCAGATATGCAGGAGAAACCTGGCTGAAATATTCGGAAACCATAGAACACAAAAAAGCCAGTGAGACTCAGAATTACAGCAGAGGAGTAGTAAGAGTTGCAGCAAAAGCTGTAAGCTTAAGGAAAGAATGACAGAAGACTTGAGAACCAAGACTTGGACATAAAACCTCTGCTTCTCATTTGCTGCTCTGTTTCTTACTACACAGCTATGTGGCAAGTTCTCAAACTCATCTGGAACTAGTGCTGAGGTAAGATTAACTTGCTCCCCTCTTTTCACTTTAAAGGTAAAACTTCATTCTTTTATTCACTCTTTAAGGCAACAGCGGGAACAACCATTTGTACTCTTGAACCAATCGTGCTTCAGTCTAGAAATTTGCTGTAACATCTTACAAAACAGGACAGTACAAATCAACTCTTTCATCCATGTGATTTCTCAGTTGTGCTAAGAAAAATACAGTTGTGCACCCAATGCAATAACCATGTACTCATGCTTTAGAAGTTTAAATTACTCATCTTCTATGGATTAAAATTCTAACACAAGGAAGTTGTCTCAAGTCCTCAACAGCATCAGTCACCTCCAAAAATGGAGGAAGGTGAAATACAACACTAAAGGTTGTCTCGTTTCCAAGTGGGAGCTCTCATGAACTAAACAAAGCTTCACCAAACAGAACAAAAAGCCACAGGAGATTTTAGTCAGATAATAATAATAATGTAATGATTAGAAAGCATAAACCTGATTATTTCCATTATTTTAATCAAATTGACAAACTTCTAAGATTCAAAACACTGCAAAGCAGCACACTGCTGAGAAGGGTATCAAAGGAAGCACTTGAAAATGGTTCGTTTTGGTCCCATATGCATTGTTTAACGAAAAATGGATCACATATGCCTAAAGCTTATTTGTCTTAGCCTCTTTCAGCTAAGTGGAGTGATAAGTCATCTGACCTGTATTCATGCACTCTTTAAAGAAACAAACTTGCTGGAGTAACAGCAGAGGTTTGAATTAAATGAGCAACTGGATGCTCAATACCACAAATTAGCATTTTATATAGTATATCCTCATTTCCTTATGCAAATTAGAGTGGGAAAACCTTAGTGAATAATGTGAAAAATAACTTACTATCCCTCATAAGACATTTTCAAGTTGACATCTCATAAACATGAATCTCCATTAGAATTCCTCTAATACTGCTGAAATTGTTTCGAATGAACATCAGCTGACATTAAAGCACTAAACAGTTTACAGATCAGCTAAATTTGTTATTTCATCTGTAAACTTTCAAAATTAAATATGAATGAGAAGTTTACCCATGAGAATTTCTAAAACAAAAGGTAATAGCTTAAGAGTATTCTGGCTCTGAAATTAGATCATAATTGTATTATAATTTTTAAATGCACAGTCCCTTGGTTCTACTCCTGGCTGATCTACTACATGCTTTTCTATACAGTTTCATTTTCCTTTCTTTCCCCTGAAGCAGTATGTGGTCATCTCATTTCCACAAAGGGCATACCCGATAAAGAGCGTGGTTAAGATGTGTATTGAGTAGTAGGTACTTTACAGAATACTTACACTGTATGTCCAACACTTGAGAATATCTTATCTCCTTTTCCAAAGCTGGGTGTCTCACAATACAAGTTATAAGTCTTCCTCTTGCAAATCGTGTCGGAACTATAGCATACTGACTCACAACTGTCACAGTTTCATTTGGAAAGGAAGTAGAGCTGGATTGCATCTCACCAAGACCTCCTTCCCAGTCAATCTCTGCAGCAGGTTTTCCAGTGGCTGCTGTACAAATGGCTGCTATTGTCTGATTTGCACCATCTATCAGAGGATGCGGTCCTTTCATTAAGCTCACAACAGGCTCAACTATTGGAGAGGAGGGGAAAAAAGAAAAGTATATTTAAACAGGAAAGATTCTATATCCTCAAAACTGCTGCTATGTAAAACAGTTGAACAAGATTAATCCATCTGCAAAAGCCCACGCTAATCGGATATCCCAGAAATAAGATCAAGTTATAGATCAAGGGTGATAGCCGTATAATTCTTCGGCCTGCTAACACCCTTCCCCTTCACCCACTCCTTAAAGCTTAATGTTGTTCATTCACCACATTCAATGCATCAGAGAATTCCCAAGCGGTTAGGTTCAAAACAGCAACTACAGTGCTCCAGTTGCAGCGTCGGACATAGACAGCTTAAGATGCTAGGTTGAAACTATAATGTTATTTAAAAAAGGCCTTGGATTCTGCTGCACTTTAAGCGTTACACTTAAAGCATTCATCTATATTATCAGTTTGTGACATTTCAAAGCTAACAGTGGATGTTAAGAGTTTAAGCTTTAGCTAGTCAGTGCAGCAATACGAACTGATTCCAAGCTGAAAGCTGGAATACTAGGAATTACTTACTAACCTGTAAAAAAGCCTATGTGTATGTATGCGTATGTATACACATGCATGCAAACTCTCTCAACATTTTCACCTATGTTGCACTTAACATTCTAATGCAGCTTCTGTGTCTGTTTGTAGCACTTCAGTGTAGTTTCCTAAGTCAGTATGTGCTTCATGGCTCAACGCAAGTTAGTGAAAGTTAGCCTTAACACATCTATGACATGCTTAGGGACAAAGTTAGGTACAAATGCATTAAGATCACTAACTGTTATATAGTCAATGATATTGTATTTGTGTGGTAAGTCCAAGGAAGAGCTGAAAATATTTTGTCAACCTTATTTTACAAAAGGTCTTCTAGTTTTGAAGCAAGCACAACCTTTAGGTATTCAAGGCCACCACCAGTCAATACATACATCTTAGATTCAGATCATTACTAGCTGTCTTTTTTACGATATCTGATCAGAAAAATTACACTTTGCCTTCAAAGGATGCTGCCTCTCATCATCTCCACTGTACCAAGTTAGCAGAATTAAATGAAAGCTGGTTTTCTAATGTCTTTGCACCTGAATCCTATGTGATTTCCAATTAAAAAACCTACTGCTTCTAACCAAGTTTTCTAACCCTCATCCTTTCACTGCTCATACTCTTTGTTAGCTAGCTGGAAAAGAAGTACAAGATTATATAACTGATGTGGTAGCCAGAAGACAAAAAACCCAGTCATTTAAGTCATTATAGCTTTTCTTTTGAAGGGGATGCTGCATAGGCTCTCTTTCTTCTTCTAGCTTCAAGCTATCATATAGCTATAGAAATGTCATCTGTTCACCCAGCTATTTTCACCAAGTAGCTTCCACAATTGACTGGGGGCAGAGGGGCACCAGGATCAATATAAAAGTGACAAAGCAGCAAGGATAAAGAATATTTTTGAACTAAGTACTTCAGAAAGTCACACAGTAAACAAAAAAAACCAGCATATCTTAGAAAAAGCCTTCTTTTTACTAACTACTACTAGCAGATGCATCTGTAGTAGACAAAAGTTTATCACAGAAGGCTCGTCAACAGTTTATGTATAGAGATTACTATATTTTATGAGTATTATTAGTTTGCCAGTAATATTCAGAGATGGGTCAACCACCTTAACTACAGCAGTGGTTAAATGTTCATTAATGTTGGAAGAGGGGGGAAGAGGGGGGAACCCCCCCCCCACCTCTTCAACAAGGTACTTAATTTTTTTAGGCATCAGGCCAGAGGATAGTACTTGCAATACTGTATGCTGTGGAAGAACTAATTTCTAGATGTCCTAATATTGTATTTTTCCTACTATTTTATTAATTTTTGACTGCAAAAAAGGCATCAAGGCATTTAAGAAAATTATCTAAGGCCAAGCCTGGAGAAAAGCCAAAAGTTAGGCAGAGGGGCATGCTCCTTCTCTACAGCATTAGAAATGACAGCTATGAATGAATTTAAACTGCAAGATCTCTCTACTAACCTCTACAGAGGTCAAAAATGTGATCTCAATACCATACCAAAGACTCAAAAAAGCCTCCACTGGAAGAACCCAACTTCTTTATACACCCATTCCTCACCCAAAAGTTTAAAGGCTTAAAGAGCACAATATCTAAAAGACATTTGAGTTCCTGATGTTGAAGTCTACTGTTGAGAGTAGCAGTCAGAAAAGCTTTTAAAAAAATTGCTTTCTATTTATCAAGTCAGTTTCAGCCCTGTAAGAGTCCCTTCATCAGTTACAGCTTAAGTCAGAGAGATCATTTGCTGGTTCTGATACAAACTAAAATTTTGCTTTCTAGAATGGCCCACTTGTTATCAATACTAGAACACAGATTTCCCCAGGAGCATACTGAACTATCACAGAAATCCTTGTCTTCTGATGCAATTAGGCTATCAAAGTCCTCCAAAGTGAAGCCATAACTACATAACACGCTGTTTTAGAACCCACATTAATGGGCCAGCCCTCACTAATTACAAACCCAAGGCAACTTTTGCACTTGCATACTTTTCAATATCCCGTAGGAGTTGCTTTTTGAAGTAGAGGTATAGCTTACAGCTTTTCTTTTAGAAAGCTTGAAGATGACCCACGTATCTCATAATGAAATAGAACAGAGTTCACAACTGCTGGCAAGGTACTTCTCTAAGCAGCAATACTTCGGGAGAGAACTGGGTAACAACTACTTCCTGGTAACTGGATGAGTGAATCCAGTGCCAGAATCTGTCTGATTGCTTTCTGTTATACATTAACACTACTCAGTATTTGCTTTTTTATTTCTTCAACACCACCAAAAGGAGAGGCATATACTAAATGCATAGGCCCATAAAAAAAATTGTTTTCTATTCTATGCCCAAACTATACCAAGTGCTTAAAGTACACACCTCACTGCCAAATGAAAGTTTGTTTGGGGGTGAGGTGGGCAGCATTACTTTCCACTTTCCCTGAATAGAGAATGATTGCCTACCCTCTGCAGTTTGTAAGTGACCCTAACATTAAGTAAACCTAACAGTGTTTTTATTTATTTTGCAAAGTCCTATATTCAGTCTTCTAGATCTGAAATATTCACAGCAGAACTTCTTTTAAAGTTTGACTCCCTGCTCTCCAACACTACCAATTGCTAAAACTTACAACAAAGCATAGGTTCTTTTAACTGATGCATATAGCACCTGATGTAAATAATAAGTATTTTATTGTTTGAAAAAAATTTCAAACCTATCATGTAGAACTTGACATTTATAGCTTTGTTACCTGACCCACAATTTGATGACTGATTTAACCTAAACATTACCCCCTCATTCCCCCTAAATCACTACTAGTAACCTTTCAATAGCCTCTGTAGAGGCTCTGTATCTTCAGTATTACTGAAATGGAGGTAAACACTCAAAGTTACATTTAGTGTCTTACAAGCATAAAGATATCCATTTGTGAAGTTACCCCAAAACCAGATTTGCATTCCTGAAGAAAGCAATCCTGTTGCTACAGGACCTCCAACACAGTGAAATCAATCGTCTAGCAGCTATCACTAGCTTTTCAAGTCAGAACTTTTAGACTCAAATCTTTCCAGCTGGAAATACAGCAGTTCCGTATAATCTATTCCTTTGAATTTTCCTCAAAATTAAATTGAGTAGACACCTCCAGAACTCCTCCTCAACCCCTTCCTGAGGGCATACATAAGTTAACATGAGCTCTGAACTTAGGTAGCCGAGACCTCCAGACCCAAAGCAGACTATTCAATATGCTGCCTCATTTATTGAGCTTGTTAGAAGATTTGCCTTCAAATATCACTAAATTATACTAGCCAGAGAACAGGATGTAGGCTCATTTAAAAAGCAACCTTAACTTCTCTGAAGGTTATTTTACTGTCTCAAGTGTCATTTGAAATCGGTGAGACTGGACAGCCTCAGCAGATTGAGTAGTTCTTAGTCTTAGGTTTCTGTGAAAGACAAAGTTCAACTATTCAAAGCCTTATTTATAAGGTGTACTTATTCCAGGTCCAAAGTGTTTCTATGCTTCAATTTAAGTTATGCTTCACATCTCCACTATCACATCTTCCTGTGAGTCATGAATCTTGGACTACAAACCACCGATCAGGATGATCAAAGAGCCACATATTACTGACCAAGGTGCAAAGCAACTTCTGTTGGGTTACCTACATCAGAGCTATTTTTCTTTCAGGGTTACTTTGTTCCAGCAACTGAAACAAAAACAGGAATCCAGCTACTCATTCTACAGCCTTTCGAGTTGTCAATCTATCAGTAAAACACCACATAAATGAATCCTCGGGTTCAAGGATATAATGGCATCTCCTGAAGTTGCTTCTTACTTTTTCGACTCAGAACAAAGATTACCCTAAGCTTCTTTTGAAAGCATAACTACACATATAGACTCTTGTAGCAGCCCTCTTTAGTCACTGGGACCATTAAGTGTGCTGTGAGACTAATGGAATCATACTGGAAGTGTGTGCTATAGACTTCTATTGCTCTTGGGAGGGGCATGGAGAGGAGCATGAGAGATGAGGGGGAGCACAACTTCCCTAAGTGTTAGAGAAGCTGCTTCAGCCACTCAGTAGAAACATGCTCTGTTTAGATCAACTGAAAAAGATGGGGGCGGGGGCAAAGTTTAGACCGTGGAAGAAGAAAACAAATCCTACAAAGATGAAAAGCAGAAGGGACCTGCTCCCACAATGCAAGAGAAAGGGCAGTGGCAACTTTTTTTTTTAAATAATTAATGCAGTAGAGATTAATGGGTATAGGCTATCAAACGGTCAGTGCACATGGGACGTCTTGTTTGTACACCTTAGGAGAAGAACAGTCATGCAAGCCTGAAGCAACTTCATAGCATTAGTTACCTTTGAGTTGTATGAAGAAGTGGTGGCTGAAGTAAGGGAGCTGATCTTGCAGCTACCTGCTTTGGAAAAGTCTCACCTAACTTACACATCCATTTACTGATTCCTGACCACTATTTCACTACCTAATGAGCTCCCTTACTCCCGCTTTCCCTTATGCTCACACAGACTGTCAGAGACCACTTGTTGTCCAAGTCTTTACACTTCTTTACAGAAAGACAACAAACTATCCAGAAAAGACAGACCCTCGAGTTTGTGTTAAGTCCCTGGGTCTCAAAAAGCTTCTTCTATTTCAGGTTTCAAGTATTTCATAAACCTTTTCCAACTGCTTCTGTTCTTTTTTTCTTTACCACTGTGCACAGGAATTCTGGATAGAACTAGCATGATTACAGCATAAACAGTATTATTGCCATTCACTATTAAATTCACTAGTTCTCCCGCCACAGCATGACACTGGGACTTGTCAGTCCTTTCTTCGTCACAGCAGACATACTTGAATAACTTCTTTCAAAAAGAGAATTTCTACTTTTTAGTTTGTCTTTCTCCCTCAAAATCATGACCTTATATATCTGCGTAATAAGATTTATCTAACCCACTAAAGTCACTCTTTTATTCACTTCTTTTTTTCCCCCCTATATCAGTCAGTTCACTAATTTAACTGACTGCGGTACGTGCTATCTACCTGAAACTCTTTTTTGCCCAGGGTACTGCACAGTACCTCAGAAGCATGTGTACATTTCAACCACCAATACTTTTCAAACACAACTACTTCATCAAAACTGCCTGACAATTCATTTTCCATACTGTCTGACATGCATCTTCCTTTAGTTTTACAGTAAGAATTCCTACATTAGTGTGTCTGGGATTTATTCAGGCTGACAGACCTACATTTACCTCTGTCAACCTTATCTGAGCAGCTCATTTTCTTTAAAGGCTAAATCCTGCTTGATATTTGTAACAGCTAGCATGCGCTGGAATAAGATCTGCCTTATCAATATCCATGCTAACACATCTAGCATAGTAAGAGAGTAGCAGTCAAGCTGAATCACGTATGGAAATACTCAGTCCGTCTTACAGGCACACTGTTTGATAAGTTTGTTACATAAAACATGTAATCTCTGCAAGCTACCCCACCATATACCATTTCTTTTGCCTTCAAAAGATCACTTTGACTGGTTTAAATCACTGTCTTGAGAAAGGAAAAGAACACCAAGTCAGAAGCTTGCCATACAGGTCTTCAAATTTTTTTTCCCCTAGATTATTAAGAGAAGTTTGAAGAATCAGAGTTTTAGACAAAGTCAATACATCAGTTTGTCCCCAAAAGCATTTTCAGTTTTATATGATTTAACCTCTTCTGCAGCGAATTTCCATATGATAACATGAAGCAGCAAGTCAAGAAAATTGAGAGTAAGGACTGTCACCAAGTGTAGTAGGTTCTATTAAGCTTAAATAGCTTAAGATAGAGGTTCTAAATAGAGCCTTTACTGATTAATGTGCTGCAGTAGATGAAATATTTTTATCTTGCAGTTGTATTCTCCCCTACGCTTGTCTTCTGTGTCTCTGCCTTACAATGTGCAAATACCTACTACAAGATGAAGTTAAGTACGCCCACTATAGATGGAAACTACTTTCTCACTGAATAGTAGTGGGCAGGGACCAGGGAGAAATGCAGTGCTGCTCGGACTGGAAATAATCAGTTTCAGTCCTGGGATATGAATTTCTCTCTCTTCACTTACAGGAGAGATTTTTTAGAACAGCAGCAGAATGTAGTCAGAATAAACCACGAAGTTGCATCAGGTAATTTTGAAAGGAAACACTACTCTATGCCTGAAGATTGAGATGACTTGTGGACTTTTGAGCTCAGGTCTGTAAAGCTCAAGAATCATTCAGTTACATATACACTCCGAAAAGCTAACCTTCCCATTACTTTTTCTGCTTAAGTCTAGATGTCAGTATAGCTGGACTTTCTCAAAAGGAAAGCGCTCTATTGAAGCCACAGAAGGCAGGCAAGTCTGACAGAGGTTTACCCATTTCTACATGCAAGTCAAGCAACTGCTAACTAGGAGAAAAAGGCAAACAGTATTCAGAAAGCATCCAGAGGAACAGAATAACTAAGATGATTGACTTGTAAAACAAATTTACACTACACCTCTCTTTCCCCCCTTCTCTTCCCACCTCCAGAACTGCAGCTAATCTTTTGTAGAAGATTTATGCCTCCCAAATATGTAAGTTCGTTACTAATTTTGGGGGGGGAAGAGAGGGACGAAGAGAGGGTAATGTATCTGCAAGTATTAGTTGGGTTTTGTAATTCAAAGGTGGATACCAACTCACCAGCAACCATGATCAGCTATGAAAAGAGCTATGATAAAGACTAGTGTAGGGTCAATACTTTTCTACCTACTTTGACTGCAACTTTTGATCATATATGTAAGTCACCAAGCAAGTTGCAGCCCTTCTGCATTTTCAAATGTGACAAAAAACACAGGCTATACATTTCTTTCCCAAGTTGTATGTGGCTCCTCAGGTTCTTTGTAAACCTAAAACTTGAAGGGTTTGACAGACGTGAATACTAGTAAGATTTGAAAATTTTCCTAATAACGGCGAATTAACAGACAAGGGGAAGCAGCAAGTCCAAGCTTCCTCCTGAATTCAAGAGACTGTTATAGTAGCCGCAAGCATAACACCACTTGCAGTATAGGTGGAAGAGAGGTAGAAAAGCAAGAGTCATAAAGCTGCATGCTATGTATCACATGGAACATCTTTGATCAAGTTACTTGTTTCAAATTGGAACGTCTTTGATCAAGTTACTTGTTTCAAATTGGACAGAGTCATTTGCTTTGATGTGTTTATTTTGCCCCACCTTGTGGTGAAATCCAGTTTACATAGTATGCTGCAGCCATCTGATTAATCTTGTACGGTATTCCACTACCCAGGAAAGAAGAGAGGAGAAAGACCAAGAAGAACCCAAACCACACATTTATCTACAAAACTAGAGTGACCAAGGGCCACTTCAGCTGAATAAGATGCCACTTGATCATTCATAGCAGATACAGAAGTAACATTTATTTATATGGAGATAGTGCTATCATAAAGAACAAATTAATAGGTTTTGAAATTACAAGATAAATAACCATTTAACTTCATACTGCAGAAAGTCTACCTGGGATTCAGTATTAGTCCTTTATGACAGCATTTCACCACAACAAAAGATTCAGCTAGTTTAGGGTTCTGCACAGCTTGAAATGAGAACCTTAGCTTTGTACACATTTCATATTTTGACTATTCACAACGAATAGAGGGCTTAAATCCCCCCCCCCTTTCTTCCCACACCTCCCACTAGTGAGTTAGATAGCTTTATTTCACATTTACACTGTGCAGACAGCAATTTATATAACCAGTCCCAAGCAGTTAAAATAATTTATCATATTAACAGCGTAATTGTCAGGAAACCTAGGCAAGGTGGTAGCTAACAATGTTTTTAGCAACTTCTCAGCACACACACAGGTCTCTAGTATCAGCACTGACAGGTCCAAATTCCAAAATGAACTTTTTTTTTTTTTAAAGTCAGGATAATCAAGAAGCAAGACCCTGAACAAGTCTCCTCGATGAAATAAGAATATCAAGAAGGCTGCTATGAAAGACCGGTGAATACATCTTCGCATTGCCATTGGGTTAGAGAGTAAAATGCAACATATTAATAAAATTGCAAATTTCACTAAGAATTTTGTGCTACTCATCTAATCTCCTTTTATGAAAAAGTTGACTTACCTAGTACTGTTACAGTTGTTGATGACTGTGCATTTCCAAGGGGGAATGTAACTGCCTTGCAAATATATTCTCCTGCATCAGAAAAGCTTACATTTCTTAGGATGATTGTTGCATCAGTAAGCGAGTAATTTTTAAATGACACTCTTCCTTGGTATTCTCCTTGAATAGAAATTCCATATTCAGGATGATGAACAGCAATAGTCTGTGAACTTTTACCATGTGTCTTCTCCCAAGAAACTTGTGTAATTGTTTCGTTTACATCAATTATGCATTTCAGTGCAACTTTCTTCCCCCAAACTGCCGTCACATGTGAATCAACAATTGGTCCAGCTAAGGCATCTAAAAACAAAGCAATCATTAGTTGGTACACAAGAATGTCATACCTCTTGAATTTTCACATTACGCCTTCTTCAGCTATTATCTTACTTTTTTAAAGGGAAGCCCCACTTCCCTCTGAAAAACCATATTCTAGCTGATTTGCATCAGTGTCGAAATATATCTTGACCTTACAAAAGTATGCTCTGAACAGCAACATAAAATTATACCTCAAGGTCTGAAACTACATCTGGATCCACTAAGTAAGGTGTGGATCAATCATTCTTCAAAGAACATTGTCATTAAGATGCAACATTCTACAAAAACGACCTGACAATTGTTCAACTGGTCTATCAGTCTTTTCCAAAAGTTAACTAGATAGATGTTGGATTGGTGGTTAGATAGGTGTTGGGTGTATTCTTATTTAATGTGGGGGGACAGGAAGTAATCAGAAATGGGACAGTTGCAGTCTGACTACTGATGCAGGGCATCAGGTTAAAATTAAAGTTGGATTACTGCAGTTATTTCTGCTTCCAAGAGATAAAGAGTCCTAATGGAAAACATTGAGACATGCATAAATCAGACTTCTACCACATACCGTACCAGTGATTACAATTAAAAAAGCTCCCACATTATTTCATCTTAACAGTGACAGTCAATTTAATAATTCAATTTTAGCTTTAGTATTCTCATTTCCAGCAAAACATACTGTGCAATATTTCTGCTACATTATTGTGCAATGTTTTCATACTAGTTCTTCCTTCTGTATTAAGACAGTAAAATGCAATACTAGATATGGTCATTGCTTGTTTAAGATTTAATGTACTTCTAACGTAGACCTAAGATACTTCCCTCAGCAGCAACTACATTCTGAGCTCGGCATTTTAGATCAGCTACCTTCAAGTAAGAAAATTCAGAGAAAGCAGTTTTGTTCCCACACTAGTCATTACATCTTAAGTATGCCTCTTGTTTTGGCCAAGACAGATGCTCCAGAACCTTCAATCATCCATTTTCTTAGAGTACTGTAAATTCACACGATGGAAGAATCACAGTCTTGCACTATGCTGCATTTATTTTTACTGTGCTTACATTTTAAATAAGTTATTTCATCTCCTCCTATTTTCTCTTTCATTGTTAAGCCAGTATTCAAGCTATTACCCAGGGGGTTAACCCCAGGAACTAGACTAGAAGCTAAATTTTAGTCATTCAACTTTCACATACATGAAGTCATGCAATCTGAGACATTATCCACCTTTTTAATTAAAGGTTTCAACAAAAGAGAAATCATGCGTTCAAGAGAAAAAAGAATTTGTACACGCTTCTACAAAAGGGTTCAGTGTTGAAAGCTTTCCATTTCCCATCCATTGATTTTTCAGCATTCAAACCATAACTAAGTCAATGAAATCATCTAAGCAAGTGATTTAGAGATTCAGCTATAGATTTCTTCAGTATTAAAATCCTAATGCCAGCAGTATGAAAACACTGAGTTGCATAAATAAATCAAACTAAGTCAGAAACTGATCTCAAAATTATTGATAGACCAGTCACTAGAAGGGCTTGGTGAGGGAGAAAAACGACCATGAAACTCAAGTCAGAATGAGTCTGAGTTTCAGATAAAGAAAATCTAATATTAGTAATCCATGAATAAAGAAAAAGAGCATTTCTGGCAGTCTCTGCATGCCTCAACTGATCCATACTGTTGGGATAGGCCCTGGACAGAGGACAACTATCTAAACACTTAGTTAAAATAGGTAAAGTTCCGCCTAAATTTTGTGTCCATCTCCCACAGCTACATTCATGCATACAGAGGAGTATTCCTCAAAGGGAATTTAACTATCATTTTCTACCTTATAAACTCAAAAGGCTTGCAAGTTACATTTCTCTGCTACTCAGTAAAGAAAAAACACACTTTCTTGTTCAGAAATAGGCAATTTATAATATTTAAGACTAGCTTGGACTGAGTCTTCACAAAATGATCAGTTGTACTTTCAACTGCAATAAGTTTATTAGGACAGAAAAGCCCTGTAAGTAAGTTTAGCTAAAGCTTCTTAGACTTCTGGAAAGGTACCAAACTTAACAGAAAGGTCATTCTAGTTAGTGGCACGTACCTAAATTGTTTTGTACCCTTTTAAAACTAGTTTTCGACTGAGCTACTTCTAATAATTAGAGGCTTTAGCTACACCAAGATGGCCAGAGGACATTTAGAAGTTCAATATTCAATCAACTCAACTATTCCTTTTTTGGAGGCATAAAAATAAAACATTTCTCACCAAGGAATATTTCTAGCAGCTCAACTCTGCCATGAGAACTTTGTGTTACTTCTTACATGAGTTGCACCAATATTTTCAGTCTAGTTTTGTGTTGCTGCTACTTTCAAGACTTGCAGACGTGACTGAACAAACCTTAAGCATGCCTGCAGCTATACAACATTAACTAGTTGCATCTTATTCATTCAGCTTTTCCAGTAACAGAAATAGAACCAACAGATTATTAGATCAAATTAAAAACATATCAGAAGACAAGATAAACATGAGAATACTCCAAGCACAAGATCAAATCCACTCATCTATGCTAATTACTTAACTTGAAATTACATATCTAACAATGATTATGGGAGAGCCGCAAAGATTATAACATTATTCTTGCTACTACAGTATTACTAGACTCATTCACAATAGTTTTTTGGGGGGGGGAAGGGGGGTAAAAGCAGATGTATGAGACTGGCTGAGTTTAAGATAGACTCTGAAGAGCTTCCCTAAACTATAAAGCAAGGCTTATTATAAGAGTAATACTTTATCTTCAAGGAAGTTCTTAAACACTGAGGAACTAATATGTAGAAAAATCAGCCTCAAGAGACCCAGCTGTCAACGAGAAGAAATTTCTAAAAATTACTAAAAGCTGTGCTGTAAAAAGTTGTGATTAAAAGAAACTATGAGTCAATTGCAGGCTTAGATCAAGAAATAGAATCAAAACTTGACAGTTTCTATGGTGTCTCATAAAAAGGAGAAAGTCAGCAGCTTTAAATGGTTATGGCTTAGAGATGTGTACAAGCATATGGAATCTTACAGAGACTTTGCCAATAAAAGCTACCAAGCCCTACGAAACCAAACAATTCTGGCCTGATATTCCATCCATTTACTAAATAGGTTTTCCTCACCACTCAGAAGTCTTCTGGCTGCCTCATCTTCCAGCCGCAAACTCAGAACTGGCCATCTTATCCACATAACTATACACTTGAGAATCTCTGAAGCTGTATGATGTCAAACATACATGATATTAAGGCTTCCTTTGATAACCACATCACTAATATCAGTAGAAACACATACTACTATTCCTAAAGTTTCCTATGGAAAAAAACTTGCTTTGAGTAGTAAATGGTAAGTTTCATAACTGAGTAGGTTCTGCCCACACAGCATACTCACATGGATGCTTTTTCAAAAAAACAGAAGTCTGGAGACTTAACTGGAGAGTTAGCTTTCATTATATGTCAACTGCAATGTACCTTATTTACAAGGCTACCAATTTTCCCATTTAATTACAACTTTTCACCACAGGTTTAAGACCTAAGCCCAGGAATCCATCTCTTGAAACACCCCCCACAGCATATAGTTTAGAGAACTTCAGAAAGTCAAAATATCAGTTTCAGGTAAGCAAGGGAGACAGGTTTTTCTTCATAGACTAGTTTAGGTTGGACAGGACCTCTGAAAAATCGTCTGGTCCAACGCTGGTCAAAGCAGGGCCAATTTTGATCCAGTGGCTGAAGACACTCAAGGACCTTTTCCAGTCAAACTTTGAATAGCTCTATGGATAGGATTTCATATACAAGACACTTGATCTTTTTTCAGTTTTTCTGCAATACGATACTCAAGTGCAGTATAACAGCAAAGCTTTTTGCATACATCTGTGCGCATTTGCAGACAACAGAATATTCTACTGAGGCTGCAGATGCTCGTTCTCATTTCAGTTGCAAACCCACATCTTAAAATCAATGTTTAAGTTTTCTTTGGAAATGCTTCACCTTTTGACAGCTCAGAATACTGTTAAGAGTTTCACAGAACATGAGGAACTTATCTAGTAATTAGAACTATATGAACAAAGTAGATACTGCTTAAAGTCTACAAGAAAAATGAAAGATTTATTGGTAAGTTTTGCAAGATGGTAAACACCAAGAACGTTTGAATGACCTTGCTAGGCTTCAAAATGCTGGATCTGAGACTAGAAAGCAAGAAAGTCACAAGCTATGATTACGCGTCAGATTCTTTGCTCCAAACTAAACAAAAGTCTATGTAAGAAAGCAAGACTTAAAGTTGCTTCATGATGATGGAGACTTTCTAGTCTGTTCTCCAGCTGCTGCAGTTGAGTCCCAGTTCAGTCCAGTGTTCGAATCAGGCCCGTAATGCCTAACCTGCTCTGATCTCGCTCCATCATCTCTACCTAAATAATTTCCGAGAGCCCAGGCTGATGCTCTGAGTGGTAAACTACTATTTTCACAGCAAAATTTAATACACGCTTTAATGAAACCAGAAGTTCTGCTACAGACTAAAAGATCTGTCTTCTCCATGTACAGATTCAACTTCAAATAATAATCTGATGCATTATGTTGTAATATATTGACTACAACTAGAAAACTTGTTAAACATACCAGTAGGCTGCTTCTCCAAACAGTACAGATAACAAATGTAATATTACCAATAACCTGTAGAGCTTGTCTAAAGTGACAAACCATGTGCTCTTTTCTCCTTCCTCCAACTCCCAGAGATTGCTTCATTTTTAACTACCTGGATAATACTTAGGACTGTCCTTTCTGTAACATTCATAGAGATTAGCCAACCCTGTCCCTCCTAAGCCTAAGAGGAAATATCCACATCTTCCATCTGCAATAGAATCTCTGGTTTACATTTATTTGTCCAGTTCTTGTCATTTGGTTAACTACTTCGGTTGATGAACAATCAAGGTAATAGTTCAAGCTAACAGATAATTACTGTGCTGATATTCAGTGCTCTTTATGATGGTAAACTCTTTAAAATAGATATTTTCTTTGCTATAGATACTTCCATTCAAGAGTCAATATTTTGCTCAAAGAGTGTA